TGACCAAAAGAGTACATGGTGGGCTGGATATATAGTCATTTGGTGGAGTCTGTTTGACATCCACGAAGCCCTAGATTCCATGCCTAGCACCTAATAAACTGGATGAGGTGGTAAATGCCTGTAATCTCAGCACTCAGGAAGTAGAAGCAGAAGAATCAGAAGTTCAAGGTCATCCTCAACCACACAGTGAGTTCAAAGTCAACTTGGGTTTCATGTGACTCTATCATCAAAAACATGAGAGAATATATATAAATGGTCATTTTGTTTTTTGTTTTTTTTTTTTTTTTTTTGGTTTTTCGAGACAGGGTTTCTCTGTGTAGCTTTGGCTGTCCTGGAACTCACTCTGTAGACCAGGCTGGCCTCGAACTCAGAAATCCACCTGCCTCTGCCTCCCAAGTGCTGGAATTAAAGGCGTGCACTACCACTGCCCGGCTAAACAGTCATTTTGTAAATACTGTTTAACTCTATCAGTGTTTCATGGGAAGAATATCTAGTGAGTGAGTGCTACCTCTTCTGGAAGGCCTGGGAAGTTTAGCACAGAAACATTCAAATGCTTAGCTTTGAAGCGTTTGTCCATTACTTTCATGTAAGTTTGCTCCTCCTTTTTTTGTACACTTTTGGGAAAGGCTCATGTCAAGACAGATGTGGTCACTGGCCCTGTGGTATTTATGGTCACAGTAGGATAGGGATTAGGAAGAGAACACAAGGAAGAAATAATTATAGACAACAGATCACATTCTTATCAAGCGCCATGAAGAACATGGTGACCAAAAAAGTGTTTGATAAGTTTAGTATGGGTATCTGCTATTTCTTCTGATCATTATGAGAACTTGACAAGACAGAAGAAACAGCAGAGTTCAAGTCCTAGAGGTGGGAAGGTATATGCAGTCGGAGCAGCTGTAAGGATTGCATGAGCTAGAAAGGGCCTTCAAGGTCATTTCATTTCAGTCTCCTTAGTAGACTGTGAGGAAACTAAGGTCTGAAGAAGGCAATGACTTAGTCAAGGTTACACTAATACTGACAGAGCCAAGCCTAGTTCTCTTGATTTCTTCTAGGTGATTTTACACTGCAGGATCCAGTGTGGTCCTCCTGAGAGCTGGGGATCTGAAGTGAGTGACTACATTCTATTAGCCTACAGAGTTGCCTGGTTTTGTGTAGAAGCTGTAAGTTCAGGCCCTTGTCGTTAGCCATCTACTATGTTCTGTTTCTATTTGCTAGTAAGATACAATTAAAGAACACAGCAATCTAGCATTCCAGTCTAGCAGGTTGGTTTGGTCTTCAGCATACTTGTCTCTCCTCCAAGTTTAGATAATTATAATAATGACCTTAATGATGGCAGTTACTTACTTAGTGCATGCTCTATATCAAGTTCAGTTTTAAGCACTTTTCATGTACTAAATTATTTAATATGAACAACAATCCTATAAGGTACATGCTATTATTACTTCATTTTACAGAAAAAAAAGGGGGAGGCTCAGACAGATCAAGGCATTTGCTGAAGGTCACAGGTGTGAGTTGTTACAGGTTGCCTAGCTCCAGAGAGCCTGAAGCAAGACATGAAAGTAGCAAGCCCTGTGGAGAGCTACAGTAAGGATGTAGATGACGGAATAGACAGGAAAGCTGAATGAAATCAAGAACTGGCTATTTACTCAAACACAAAAGAAGGCTGAATGAGCCCAAAAGAGTACTTGCTTAGTACTCTTACAAGATCCTGGATTCAATCCCCAGCACCACAAGAAAAAAAGTACCAAAGAATCAACATATGACCACATCTCAAGGACAAAGGCATCTTACAGTCCTTCCTATTCATCACAGTCCCTCAGATTATTAATGCCTCTGGTCACTTGCCTGCTCCCTTATGTCTACGCCACCAGCATCCTATTGGCTTCATGTTCCTTGTTCCCATGTTCTCCTTCCGTCTCTCTCAACTCTTCTCCTTGTTCCTTCTTTCCTCTCTCTCCCTACTGATGTGAGTTTTTCAGTATCAGTGCACATCACATTTCTACACATGTATTGTATGTGAAGGTCAGAGGTCAACAACATTGGGTGTTGTTCCTCAGAAGCCATCCACCTTGTTTTTAGAGAGAATCTCTCACTGAGACCTAGGCAAGTAGGCTATGATGTCTGGCTACTGAGCCCCAGTCTCTGCTCACCAGCAGTAGAATAAGCATACATCGTCAAGCCCATCTTTTTACCTGGGTGATGAGAACTGAAAGCAGACCTTGCACAACAGGCATCTTACTGACTGTACAAATGCAGAGTTCTAGGAGGATGGATAGGTGCATACATTTGTGTGAATGCCACCACAATCAGGACATAGAACCATTCCATCAATCTGAAAATTCTCATGTGCCATCCCTTTGCAGTCAAGACCTCCAGTCACCCCTACAATGGTAACACTCCCTGGGCTTTCCATCCTTGGAGTTTTATCTTCTGAGAATAGTTCTCCCAGTGTGGTGACTCTAGAGTTCATTCATGATATTCTATGCAGCAATAGAGCAATAGCTTATTATTTCTATTTTTAAAGATTTTTGTTTAAATTTCTATTTAATTCTATGCCTCTGTGTCTGTGTGTGGATATGTACACAAGCCAGGTGCCTACAGAGATCAGAAGAGGGTATTGGACTTCCCTGGAGCTGGAGTTCCAGGCAGTTGTATCTATTCGTTGTGAGTTGTAGGTTCTGGGAATTGAATTTAGTCCTCTGCAAAAGCAATGAGTACTCTTAACCACGGATCAGTCTCTCCAGCCCTGGTTCGTTCTTTGTTTCCTTTTTATAGATTTTCTTTATTTTAAATTATGTGTATGTGGAGGGTGGGTATATGCACCTGTGTGGGGGTGCCTGCCTCAGCCTCATAAGTGCTGAGATGAAAGAGACAAGAAAGTTACTTTCAGGAATTGAGCATTTTGATGATGACAGTTTCCTCGGGTAGTTCTGGGGTAGTCATGAAGTACACGGATGGCTGAAGAATAGGTGGCCGCAAGTATAACAGTGAGGAATCCTGAGGATGAGGGCCAGACTGAGATTGGCATAGACTGTCCTTTTTGCATTCTTTTATTTGAAAAGTATATACATATATACAAGTATCTTGGTTAAATCCACCCCTCACTTCCCTCTAACTTCCATTGGTCCATCCCCACAGCATATCTCCTCTCTCCAGTTTAATATCTTTTTCCCCTTTCCTTTTCTTTTTCTTCTCCCCCCTTTATAAAGTTTCCTAAGGCCGGGTGGTGGTGGCACACGTCTTTAATCCCAGCACTTGGGAGGCAGAGGCAGGTGGATTTCTGAGTTCGAGGCCAGCCTGGTCTACAGAGTGAGTTCCAGGACAGCCAGGGCTATACAGAGAAATCCTGTCTTGAAAAACCAAAAAAATTAATAAAATAAAGTTTCCTAAGATAATAGTGAGGCTGAGCTAAACTGAACCACCAGGTGTCAGTCTCCAGTAAATGTAGAAGGGTGGCCAGAAGGTCCACAGACAACAATAGGACAAGGACGACAGAGCAGCTTGAGGCCCAGGTGAGCACTTTTGTCATACAGTGAAGCAGACAGGAATAGGTAGCCAGAAGAATGCCACAACCACCCTGTTCTCAACCCTGTGACATTTGTGGTGTGGGGAAAATCAGTCCCTACTTGGTGGCTTCCCAGAAGAGGATCAGTTAAGGAGTCAGGAGGGCATGAGAAAAGATTAAAGTCTGGGACTGGAGAGATGACTCAGTGGTTAAGAGACTGACTGCTCTTCCAGAAGACTCAGGTTCAATTCTCAGCAACCACATGGTGGCTCACAACCATATATAACTTCAGTTCTAAGGGGATCTGATGCCTTCACATGTACATGGTACACAGACATATATGCAGGCAAATATTCCACATTAAAATATAAAAATAAATAAGTCTCAAAAAAAGGTTAAAGGCATAGGACTATGTAACAGGCCCATTGGGCATAGGCTATGTTGGAATATAAGTATGAAATTGAGTCTATCTAAAATGTTTACTTTCTTTTAAGCAAAATACATCACAAATATGTGAATGAGGCATTATGGTTATATAGCAAATGAATATTCATTCTAAATTAGTAGCTCACACCTGTAATCTCAGCATTCAAAAGAGTGAGACAGAAATATGGTGAAGTTCTAGCCAATCTGAGCTACATAAGCAAGACCCTGTCTCCAAAAACATTCATTAGAAGACTGTGGAAGAAGATGAACTCTGAAGTTACTACTTTTTGCCACCATCTTGGCACAGAGTATCCAGAGTCCAGACCTGAGAGCATGTTTTCTTTGTGTAGGACATTGACTTCCCAGTACTTAAGCCGCTTTCCTGTATCTTCTATTTCCTGCTAGGCTCAAAGTCCTTATCTTCCCCACTATGGAGGAGTAGATGTCCACTTCTCAGGAGCAGCTGACTGCTTCCGGCAGATAGTGAAAACCCAAGGGGTACTGGGGCTCTGGAACGGACTGACGGCTAACTTACTAAAGGTGAGAAGGGTGGCCCGTCTCCTGCTTCTCTGCCTCTTCCAGTTCTTTCTCTTCCTTATCTTCTCAGTACAATTTTTGTGAAAATACCTCAATTAGCACTGATAGACTGTGCATCAACCAATGGTTTAGAATCTAATACCACACCCTAGAAGAGCTGAGCATTTAGTATCAACTGGAGGTTTAAGTATGACTATAATACATGAATATATCAAATTCCCATAGACTTCTGTAACTAGAATTATGAACAAGAACTCTGGACTAGCCTTGTACTAGCTCACATGTAAATATCCAGTCAAGACCGACATACAGTAATGGGCAATGGTCCATCGACTACATGGATATTAATGCTTACACAGGGCATCTTCAGTGGTTCTGAAATCTTTCATCCCCTTCTACACTGGACCAGTTTTCCTTATTCCATATTCTTTGATTCCAAAAGCAATTAGCACGTAGCACTACCCTCGGCTACTTTACTCTGGTGTAACTCCATTGCAGAAGTCTCTTTTTGTAAGAGTTTAAAATATGGCTCCAAAGTGTTGAGTTCAGTTCAGGGTAGCTTCCCTGTTCTGTTAATTAAACTTTGAGACATTGAAACTGGCTAATGGAAATGACTGAATAGAGAGGATTACTCTATTCATATCCTTCCTAGTCCACATCAATAAAAAATAAAAATGTAAATTTTTTAATTTAAAAAGTTGTTTAGCCGGGCAGTGGTGGCGCACGCTTTTAATCCCAGCACTTGGGAGGCAGAGGCAGGAAGATTTCTGAGTTTGAGGCCAGCCTGGTCTACAGAGTGAGTTCCAGGACAGCCAGGGCTATACAGAGAAACCCTGTCTCGAAAAACAAAACAAAATAAAAAGTTGTTTAACATCTAGGCTGCAGAGGTAGCTCAGTGATTAAGTGTGTTTGCTGCTCTTCCAGATAACCTGAGTTTAGTTCCCGGTACCCATGTTGAAAGGCTCACAACCACACAAAACTCTATCTCCTAGGGATCCAATACCCTCTTCTCCATGGGTATCTACACTCACACAGACACAGAGATGAATAAACAAAAATTAGTCTTTTCTTGTGAAGAATTTAACACAATTTTCATTTTTTGTTTAAACAGGTAGTTCCATATTTTGGAGTCATGTTCAGCATGTTTGAGTTCTGTAAGAGAATTTTTCTTTATCAAAATGGTTACACCCTGTCCCCCTTGACCTATAAACTGACCCCAGGAGTGGACCAAAGTTTAAAGCCCCAGGAGTTACGGGAGTTAAAGAAGTTCTTCAAACCCAGAAAACTGCACTCGAAAAAACCAACTCTGTAAAGCTGAGTGGAACTACACTGGAAGAGGCGCAGCAATCACAGATGAATACGACCTCTTAACTGTGCACATCCGGAGGAGGGAGAAGAAATGAGAGCACTAGACCATATATCACCTCAGAATGCCAAACTTTTCAATATCTGTGCTTTGAGAAACTTCTCTGGCACTTCCCTATCACTATGGCATCCCAGTAGACTCTAAGAAAGCCTAGAGGTAATCAAACATGCAGTATACCCTCCGAGGAGAAACACTGTGCAAAGAAGCATAGCCACAACACTTCAAAGCATCTTGTACTGGCAGATCAGAGACCAGGGCACAAGCCCAGTCACAGGAGTCCCGAGGAGCAGGCCAAGTTTCACTGTGGCTTTCCCACACAGACTTCTTAAACTCAAACCTTTGCTGGCTTCTGAGAGCACAAACCATCATGTAGGTTAGGACTTTTAAAAAAAATTCCAAATGAAAACTTTTTTGTTTTTTCAAATGATCTTCTTACAAAGTCCAGGCTTCAATCAGAATCATGATGCTGTGGCCTAGAGTCCCAGGTGGCTGGGATTCCAAGTGTGTTCTGCCACACCAGAACCCTAGAGCCCTCATTCTTACTTGAGGGACCAAGCATCCCAAGCTCAGAAGCTTTTATTTCAAGAAGGCATTTTTCTCCAGGATTTCTACCTCCAACCCAACACCCCTACCCCTGAGTCAAGGTTTCTCTGTGTTGTCCTGGCTGTCCTGGAACTCACTCTGTAGATCAGGTTGCCTGCCTCTGCCTCCCAAGTGCTGGAATGAAAGGTATGCACCACCACCACCACCGGGCCCCCATGACTTCTTAATGATACACTAACATTCCTGACTAAAGCCACATACAGTTTCAGTGGCTTTAATTATCTGCCTTTTTTTAAAACTTGCTCTGTAAGCCTACTCTGAAAATAAATTATTTAATCATCTTCCATTAATCTCACAAGATGTCCTAGTTGCCTAGAAAATATCAGATAGAAGATATGACACACATACTTCCCCAAAATGCCATGAAATTAAAATCCTTTAGGCTAATCACCTATTATACAGTTTTGATTTTGTTTTTAGATATGTTTTATGTACTAAAGCAGGGAATCTGTGTAAAATTTATATAGCTGTACGTTTCAAATAGTACCAATCTATACATTTTTAAAATGTATTAATATCTAACTAGGTAAGGTGGTGCCCAGCTGCAATCACAGCCCTTGGGAGGCTAAGGCAGGAGGATCTTGAGTTCAAGGCCAGTCATAGCTATATAAGTAAGTTCAAGTTCTTCTTGTTCATACTGAAATCCTATCTCGAAAACAATGTAAAGAAATAAATGTATTTCTGACATGAATTTACATATATTTTTGTTTCCTTACCTCTACCATATACATGAAGGTTTTCCAAATGTTGAAAATATTTTTTCATATGAAATTTATTTTCTAAAGGAAAAAATGGGGCTGCAGAGTTGGCTCAGCAGTTAAGAGCATGTATTACTCTGCAGAGGAATGTGATTCATTTCCCAGCACCTGCATGGTATCTCACACCCACCTGTTAACTCCAGTCCTGGGGGATCTAATACCCTTTCCTGAACTCCATAGGCACACATGGTGCATATACATACAAGCAGACAAAACATATACACACACACACACAAAGTAATTAAGTAAATCTATTTTTTCTTTAATTTTTAAAAAGAAAAAAGTATCATTTATTTCTAATTATAGTTATAAAACTATGGTTAAATTCTCAGGTCTTTGTCTGGTTTAAATATGCAAAAGAACTCGTTTTTCCAACTCCTGTGACAGACTGTTTTATATGGAATAAAGTTGACACACTTCTGTAGACCAATCTGTTAGTGTTTGGGGGAGGCAAATACAGAATTCAGTCAATACTCTATGTTTGTCAATTATTATTTCCTTTTAAGCAACAAAACAAATTTTCAGAAAGCACTGAATACTATAAACACATTTTCTGACAAAAGTTAAAATCTAGGGGGCTGGTAAGATGGCTCAGCAGTTAAGAGTACTGACTGCTCTTCAGGAGGTCATGAGTTCAAATCCCAGCAACCACATGGTGGCTCACAACCATCTGTAATGAGATCTGATGCCCTCATATGGGTGTCTGAAGACAGCTACAGTGGACTTTGAGCCAGAGAGAGCAGGGCCGGAGCGAGCTGGAGCTGGAGAGCCTGGAGCATGCAGGGGCCTGACGGGGGGGTGGGGGGGACGACTGAGGGAGCAGGGACGGAGCAAGAGGGAGAAGGGAGGGGGAAAAAGTTAAAATCTAGCCTCAGATTATGTACATCTTAGTATTTCTTCTGTTCATTCTTCCACAAATATAAAATAGATGCTACATGGCACAGAGGTGTTTTCTGAGCTTTGGGGCGTTTTAGAGTTATTCTAAATCATTTCTATGTGGGGATGAGGGCATGCGTATGTGAATGCAGGTGCCTGTGAAGGCCAGAAGCATCAGATCCCTTCGGATCTGGAGTTTCAGGTGGGTATCAGCTGCTTGCTATGGTTGCTGGGGCATGGTTGCCGGGGACCAGACTCTGGTCCTCTTCTAGATCAATGTGTGCTCTTACTAGTTGAGCCATCCCTCCAGTGTCACACTGAGTTGTGATTTTTTTTAATAAATCAAAAATATGGCTCATTTTCCTGTCATTTCAGAATGACTCCTTATAATTCTATTTCTGTTCCTAAAATGAACTGAGCACTGCTTTTATTTCCTTAGCGGTGTAACAAGATGCTCTCTCTGCCTTCCTAACTTCTGGCTACTAGCATGCACCACACAGGACTAAGAACTATAAAGAAGTGTAGTGTGATAGCCATCCAGGAGTAACTTAGGGAATAAAACATACCTATATCCATGAATGATTACAATTATAAAGCAAACACAAAGCACGACTGAGTAGTGTCTCCTACTGACAAGACTGTCATGGGGCTCCGTCTGTGAGTGCTGAATAAGTGATTAAAAGGCTCAGCACAGGAGATAAGCTAGTCATGAATAGGGACTCTGAGGTGATGAGTCTGGAATTAAGGCTAAGATTTTTCATTTTTGTAAACAGTGTTTTCTAGAATGCCATTCACTTTGTAACCCAGACTGGCCTCAAAATCCTCCACCCTGTCTCCCAGGTGCCAGAATCACAGGTGTGCTGTGCTGTGCCTAGCTTTGAACTAAGTTATTTTTTGTGGACTTTCATTTGATGGCTATTTTATTTTCTTCTTTTGCGGGAATTGTTTTCAGACAGGGTTTCACTCTCTAGTCCAATCAGGCAGGGCTGAAACTGTATTCCAGAGTGGACTCAAACCCATGGCAATCTTCCTGCCATTGCTGGAATTACTGCTGGAATTACAGGTATCAGGACATATGACTTGATAGGTTTTGGTACTTTAAGGTAGGTGCTTCATTGTACAGCTGAGGCTGGCTTTGAACTCATGATCCTCCTCCCCTTAGATTATGAAATGCCAAAATCTGAGGTATGTCCCTCCATGCCTGGCTCTGGAGTGAGTTTTGAAGGAAGGACTGTAGTAGTTTGAATGAGAAATGTCCCCTATTACATGCATATGCTTGAATACTTGGTTGCCGCTGTTAGTGATGTTGGGATATCACAGAACTGTGAGGAGCACCCTTGTTGGAGGATGTGCATCATTGGGGGCAGAGTGTATAGGCTCACCCCACTTTCACTCTGCTTTCTGCATGTGGTTGAAGACATTATCTCTCAGCTTCCTGATCTGCTGCCATGCCTCTCCCCCCCCCCTTTGGAATGATAAGCCAAAATAAACTCTCTTCCATATGCTGCTTTTGGTCGTGGTGTTTATCACAGCAACAGAAAAGTAACTAATACAAGGACACAGGCAGTATCACAGAGATGGATACAAGCAAAGAGTGCTTGAAACAGAGAGAGAAGGCTGGCTTTGTTCAACTGCATTTATTCAACAATTGCTAGGCACTGTTCATGCAGTGATATGAAAGGCAAATGTGACCGCCGTCCTGGAGATCCGATCCTAGTGAGCACAGGAGCCAATAAACAACTATTTAAAAATAAGGTAATTTTGCATTGTAATGTTCGGAGGAAAATAATCAAAGTGCATTAATTTAGAGCTTACGTGGGAGAAAGGTAAAATATTTCCATCAGGGACCAGGGAAGGCCATTCTGAGAGGTGACATTGGAAATTAGGCCTAAATGATGAGAATGAGCCAACCACAGAAAGCAGCAGAGAGAACATCTCCAGCAGTGGAAAAAACAAATGCAAGTGTGAACCTCCCTTGAGGAAATGCCTCCATGAGATCCAGCTATAATGCAGTTTCTCAATTAGTGATCAAGGGGGAGGGCCCAGCCCACTGTGGGT